TCGGCTGAGCCGAACCTCGGGCAGTTCACCCGCTGCCGTTCTCCCCTATTCTCATAGGGGCCGGACAGCAGTGAACGAACAGCCAAATGTGCACCGCTAGCTCTGCCCAACTGTTTACATTTGTCTAACACCTGTCACAGTCTTCCCGCAGGATCTGGCCAAATCAAAACAAATGGGTAGAGATAGATGTGACATCACGGCCGGCTCCGCCCATTCATTATTGTTAAATCACAGATCAGCGTCCCCAGGTCATTTGGGGACGCCGATCTGTCATTACAACTGGGCGGAGCTCACAGCTGTCATTTCCGGGGCTTACGGTCGGCCTTCGGCAGGTCGTTCGCCCCGCTTCGGGTGATACTTCGGCTCAGTCAAACTGAAGCATACTATGTACGTGCTATAGTGAATAGCCCGTACAGCAGCCCTTCGGTTCGCAGACAAAGAGAGCCGTAGGATCAGTTGAACCTGTGGCTGGATCTTTCGGCTGCTACATGAATAACAAACTGAAGCCCCCGCGGCTTCAGTTGTCCTCGGATCCCCACTGCCCATACAGGCAGGGGAGAGCAGCGGGGATCCAGAAGAGAAGCTGCAGGCTCTGCAACCCCACTTCTCCCTGCTGCACTGAACCCTGGCTGCGCCCCCCAACCCCGCGCCTGATGCACTCACCTCTGTCGCCTCGCCCTAGCTACAGCCCTGCACGGAGGTCACAACTGTGACATCTGATCCGTACTGCTGTGATCAGGAGAGGATCTGTGCACGGAATCTCTCCTGATCAGGCCGTGTGAAAGGGGCCTTATTCAGTACAACTGTGCAAAGTAGTACAATACTGTAATACTTAGGACGTACTCTCTACAGGCAGTGTTTTACAAACTCCCATTTCCCCACTAGAGGGCGACAGAGCCGCGTACACCTTGAACAAGGAACGCCTCAGCTCAATTGTCACCATAGCAACAACACACCCAACATGGCAAACGATCAGCTCCACTGAGCTGCCCCTCCTTCGCCGATGTAATTGGATAGAACCGACTAAGCCCCGCCTCCTTGCAAGATGGAATGACTCTGCGCCGGCACTTTTCTGCTTCCTGCTTGACGTCACGTAGTTACCGCCAATAGTCTCAAAGCTTCACTCTTTTCCACGCCCACCGACTGCTGTCACTAGCAGTTGAGGAAGTGTTCGGTGCTGTATCGATACCGTTTCGGTCGCTCCGGCCTCTGGTGTGATGGCGGCCAGTCAGCAGTGGGTATTAGTGGAGATGGTGCAGGCGTTCTACGAGGTGAGTGAGACCTAGTGGGGTAAAGGTGTGCTCGGGTCACGGGTGGGTGGACACACTAAGGGAAGGGAGGCCAGTAAGAGGCACAAGTTAGAGATATCACATGGCAAGTCAGTGTCCTGGTATTTCATAGCCGCCCCTGGCCGGCTTCTCATTCAGCTCTGTCCTCGATGAGTCCATCCAATGTCCCGGATTCCTCCTGTGTTGTGGATCCTGACTACCTTCTCTTTATCACTCGACAACACCAGATGATCTCTAGAATGAACCGATCACACATGACCCTTTCATGTCTGCCCATGGACACTCCTACATTCTCAAACTTTGTCCTTTGGAATTGCTCAACTTTTAAATACCGATCAATGTTAAGTATATGTAATGACAGCACTTTTTTTTTTTTTTCTCATAGGGAAGGGTTAAAAATCCTTCCATATCCCATTTAAGAGACCTACCCTCACTTCCTGTCCTGTAGACACAACAGGAATTGAGAAGAGATCTCTCCAAATTGAGGCACATCCCATATTAAGGTGCAACTGAAGCCAAAACTTCCTTTTTTTTTTTTAAAGTTTTGCTTGGAGTGGATAGGGATTAGAACACCTGTCAGGTTTTTATTGCTGTTTGTCCCTGTTAGGGAGATTCACCCTCTATTTGTCCTGGTGAATGTTATTATTAAAAAGGAAATCCTACATTTTGGCTTGTCATCAGAAATGAATGGGAAATCTTTCAATGGGGACACTAGTTGTGGATACCCTGCTGACCTCCAAGGACGTTCCTCACTTCCTGTTGTGGTTATCGGAGAGGAGGTGAATGGAAATCTCCCAAATGGGACAAGGATGGCAACAAAAAGCTTCCATTACTCTCCGAAACTAAAAAAAAAAGTTTTGGCTTCAGTTCTTCTTTCAAGGAGAAATATGGGAGGAATGAAATGCATAGTTAAGCTGGCTGTACTCTATCTATCGATGCCCAGATACCACTTTTTTAGGACTAAGTACAAGTACTTGCTTATACTCGTTACTGATGCTTTTTCTTAAAGGGACATGTGACATTTTTTTCTAAAACACAGACTGATGATTTAGGGCAGTTTCTCACCAGGGCAGAACACATGTCCTTAAAGTGACATTAAACCCTGAGATTTTTTAACATAAACCAATACTGTAATGTGTGCCTTACTGTAATTCATGGTTGTTTCCCTTCTCTTTGCTGCTCTTCCTTTTAAATCTGTATCTCTTCTCATGCTGGGCAGAACTTCTGTTTTGCAGCAGACTGCCTTGTCTCTGAAATGGATACATGGCGTCTGTGTGTAGGTTTGCAACCTGTGCCAGCACTACAGGAAGAGGCACTCAGCTGCAAAGGGAAGTTTTCCCCAAGCATGAGAAGGCATGAGGATTTAAAAGGAAGAGCAGCAAAGAGAAGGAAAACAACCATGGATTACAGTAAGGTACACATTACACTATTGGTTTATGTTAAAAAATCTGAGGGTTTAATGTCACTTTAAGGCAGAATAGTATTCTGGGAAAGACGAAGCAACAAAAACGACACCGGAGCCTCCAAGTGCGAAATGGCCAGCTCAAATAATAGAAACACTGAAGAGGCAGCTCCCACAGGTCAAATAGACCGCCAATCTGAGAAACAAAAACGAAAAAGGGCGCCTCCATAGTGTAAAAACGTAATTGAATAATAAAACACGCAGCTTTAGGCTGTACTTACTAAAAGTCAGTAGAATAAAAGCATGTAGAAATCGATGGGAACTCGAAACCTCTAGCAGAGAAGATCTGGAAACATGTATTGCACCAGCGTCCTCTGCCCCTATGTGTTCAACAGGTTTACACATTTCTGGGGCACGCCCCCTTCATCAGAACCTATACCCTGCTCTTAAATCTTTGAGGATAACCAATCGCAATCGTCCACAAAAAACCTTAGACCAATCATCGGTCGTCAGGTCATCGCTGAGAGCTCGTCCAAAAATCAACCAGCTAAAAGTGATTAATGATCAGTGTGGTCCAATTTTTGGTGTCTATTAAAAACCGCATAGAATAGTGTTCTGCCTTGGGGACATGTGTTCTGTGAATACATGTCCTCACAGCACAATTCCTCTCACCAGGCTGCTTGTCGATCTCACACGGGCGACATCCATATCCGGCGATGCTGGGACCCGGCCTCCTTCACTTCCGGACCAGCGATGCTGGGACCCGGCCTCCTTCACTTCCGGACCAGCGATGCTGGGACCCGGCCTCCTTCACTTCCGGACCAGCGATGCTGGCACCCGGCCTCCCACAAGCGTGGGAACTCCGACAGCTGCTGCTGTTTAAAAATGTAAAGGGCCGTATCGGCCTTAAGAATCAAGTACTCGTGGAAATGCCTGGTATCAGGACATCCCTAGTGACAAGTGTCATTTTTGGTTTCTGTCTGAAAATTCTGCTCCTGGATGTGCGTTGTGGTGCCATTAATTTCAATGGATGCCAAAATGCCCTCGCGCAGTTTGATCACCTGCACTGGAACGCGCAGTCCTGCAGTGTTCCGCTGCGAGTGCAAAAAATGTGCATACTGTTTTATTCTGAAGTATACTTTGTTCGTAACACTCCATTTGTGTATTTTATTTTAAATAAAATATGGTATTTTTTTTTAATCCGATTAATCGAAAATATATTTGGCCAACTGTTCGTTTATAAATAAGTTTTGACAAGGAAAATCGAAAGAGCAGAATGCAAAGTTTTTCTTATTCTATTGAACATAACTCTGAATGTAGTGTTGGTTCTTGAAAAATCGTACTTATTGTCATGTGCCAGAGCAAGAAAAACATTTGACCCGGGAAGTAGAACTTTCTTGAGTGTCGCAGACATTCACATAGCCCAGAGGTGGGCAAACTCCATCCCTCCAGCTGTGGTGAAAGTGCAAATCCCATCATGCATCTGTTTTTGCGAGTCATACCTGTGGTTCTGAGAATCTTGCAATGCCTCATGGGATTTGTAGTTCCGCAACAACTGGCTCCCAAATATCACCTATGGAAGAACTCTGGCTGTCATCCAAAAATCCATAATGCTACCAAAAATTGTTGGACTTTACAAATAAACGTTCCAATAACTACAGTATTTTATGTTAAAAAATCTGAGGGTTTAATGTCACTTTAAGGCAGAATAGTATTCTGGGAAAGACGAAGCAACAAAAACGACACCGGAGCCTCCAAGTGCGAAATGGCCAGCTCAAATAATAGAAACACTGAAGAGGCAGCTCCCACAGGTCAAATAGACCGCCAATCTGAGAAACAAAAACGAAAAAGGGCGCCTCCATAGTGTAAAAACGTAATTGAATAATAAAACACGCAGCTTTAGGCTGTACTTACTAAAAGTCAGTAGAATAAAAGCATGTAGAAATCGATGGGAACTCGAAACCTCTAGCAGAGAAGATCTGGAAACATGTATTGCACCAGCGTCCTCTGCCCCTATGTGTTCAACAGGTTTACACATTTCTGGGGCACGCCCCCTTCATCAGAACCTATACCCTGCTCTTAAATCTTTGAGGATAACCAATCGCAATCGTCCACAAAAAACCTTAGACCAATCATCGGTCGTCAGGTCATCGCTGAGAGCTCGTCCAAAAATCAACCAGCTAAAAGTGATTAATGATCAGTGTGGTCCAATTTTTGGTGTCTATTAAAAACCGCATAGAATAGTGTTCTGCCTTGGGGACATGTGTTCTGTGAATACATGTCCTCACAGCACAATTCCTCTCACCAGGCTGCTTGTCGATCTCACACGGGCGACATCCATATCCGGCGATGCTGGGACCCGGCCTCCTTCACTTCCGGACCAGCGATGCTGGGACCCGGCCTCCTTCACTTCCGGACCAGCGATGCTGGGACCCGGCCTCCTTCACTTCCGGACCAGCGATGCTGGCACCCGGCCTCCCACAAGCGTGGGAACTCCGACAGCTGCTGCTGTTTAAAAATGTAAAGGGCCGTATCGGCCTTAAGAATCAAGTACTCGTGGAAATGCCTGGTATCAGGACATCCCTAGTGACAAGTGTCATTTTTGGTTTCTGTCTGAAAATTCTGCTCCTGGATGTGCGTTGTGGTGCCATTAATTTCAATGGATGCCAAAATGCCCTCGCGCAGTTTGATCACCTGCACTGGAACGCGCAGTCCTGCAGTGTTCCGCTGCGAGTGCAAAAAATGTGCATACTGTTTTATTCTGAAGTATACTTTGTTCGTAACACTCCATTTGTGTATTTTATTTTAAATAAAATATGGTATTTTTTTTTAATCCGATTAATCGAAAATATATTTGGCCAACTGTTCGTTTATAAATAAGTTTTGACAAGGAAAATCGAAAGAGCAGAATGCAAAGTTTTTCTTATTCTATTGAACATAACTCTGAATGTAGTGTTGGTTCTTGAAAAATCGTACTTATTGTCATGTGCCAGAGCAAGAAAAACATTTGACCCGGGAAGTAGAACTTTCTTGAGTGTCGCAGACATTCACATAGCCCAGAGGTGGGCAAACTCCATCCCTCCAGCTGTGGTGAAAGTGCAAATCCCATCATGCATCTGTTTTTGCGAGTCATACCTGTGGTTCTGAGAATCTTGCAATGCCTCATGGGATTTGTAGTTCCGCAACAACTGGCTCCCAAATATCACCTATGGAAGAACTCTGGCTGTCATCCAAAAATCCATAATGCTACCAAAAATTGTTGGACTTTACAAATAAACGTTCCAATAACTACAGTATCACTATTTGTGTATCACTCGGCTGTAGATCCTCAAATCCTCTCTGAATTCATGCTGACGCTGTCCTTCCTTCTGGAGTGTGACTACTTTTGCTACTGTGTGTTTTGTAAAGTAGTCACCGCTCCAAGCTCACTCCCATCATGTGACTACAAGCTCAATACAAATTAGTAACCTAAATGTGAGATTGTAGTCCATCAGGGAGCGAGCTTATTATTGATTTTTTTTTTTTCTTCACAGCACCCTTTATAAGTATGGAAAATCTTGAGGCATCCCAGTAAACAAAGCAAATGTAAAAAAAATATATGATGTGTGGCCACTCCAAAGTCCATACCAGACCTTTATCCCAAATTGGGGGCCAATATAGATTTTAAGGGGAGGGCCCACGCAACATCACAAACATAGACTTGGGATTCCCCCCTCCAAATCAGGAGAACACCTTTCCCATCAAAATCCTCCTTTTTTAAATCAGGAGCCCTCCTTAAATTAGAGCACCCTCCTTTCACATTAGGAATGTACTTCACATCAGAAGCCACCTTCATATCAGAATCCCTGGCAAATGGTGGAGCAGGCCTGGACAGAGTCAAACTTCTGTCCTTTTTCTGAATGGATCCGACCCTCCCTGCATTATTGTAATTTGTTTACAGCCGTGGCACCCTGGTTGGGAAGGCTGTCCCATGGCCAGTGGAGGGGTTTGCTCCATCTTAGGCCTGAAGATCCTGAACCAGTTCTTGTGGGTCCAACATTTTGCCTTTGCCTCCCTTCACGTGAGAGATTTCCTGGCTTCAGTGGACTATAAGGATGCATACCTATTTTTCCTGCACATTATTGCTATCTGCATTTTGCTGTGGACAGACCATATTTCCAATTTGTTGCCCTTCTCTATTCCAGGCACCCTGGGTGTTTACCAAGGTGCTGGTCTTTTGGCCATGCTGCACTCCCAGGGAATTCCCATAGGTGGGGTACATGGACCTGCTCCTCGTGGAGCAGTCCGTGGCAGCCCTGACATCCAACATTCAGAGAATGATACAGACCCCACAGAGCTTCAAATGAATCCTGAACATCCAGAAATAGTCACTGGAGCCTTCCAACTACTTGGAGTGCCTTGACCTGATTATGAACCTTCTGGTTCTAACAAGGTTCTGGACCTGATAGTGACTTCCTTTTGAAGCAATCACCCATACTTAGTTTCACTCCAGGCCAGTGCAACTCAACTTCTTAGCTGTGTGGGACAAACCAGTTTAAACTCTAGATCTCTCCGTTTGCTTGTCCAGCAAGGCAAAGCTTGTATGGAGTGGTGGATATTCAGTCCAGTGTTGGAGATGGGGGAAGTCTTTCCCTCTGATGTCCTGGTAGGTGGCTATCCAGTCCAGTGTTGGATTTGGTGAAGTACATCCTTCCTTCCGTTCTTCCTTCATCCTGGAAGGTCCTCACAATAAATGGAAGGCTGTTGGGCCCGGTCCTGGAGAGCTTCTCGGTCCACAATTGGAATTATTCGGTTGTCTCTTCAACGCTGCACCACCCAATAGCAAGGCCATCTGACAAGGATTCAGTTGGACCAGGATTTCTTACCAGTAAAATCTGTTCCTTGAAGTGCATCACAAGATCCTGGATCCTATCCTCTGTATTTTGTGTTTCTATACTGCTGGCTACAAAACCTGAGGCAAGATAGGAGTAGAAGGGGTTCTGCACGGCTTTTCCTGCAGCTTTGATTTGCCATTGTCTAATCGCCTCAAGGTAGCTGCATGAGCCAGTGGTGAAAGAATTTACCTTGCCTGACCTGCCATGTGCTCCAAGAAACTGCTTCTACAGATGAGACAAAAATCCTCCTCTTTTTTTTTTTCCTCGCCTATAATTCTGAAATTACCAAATAATATTGCTCGGAGGAGGCGATGGGAATTACAAATAAAGCACTATTACATTAAGGTAGATTTAATATACCTTTTATTGTGGTGACGGGGTCTCTTTATTGTATGGCAAACAATAGAGCTAGTAACCCCATCTTGTGTCACATTTTTTATTTTGTCGTGTATACTGTTTTCACATTGCTAATTCAACACCAATTTAAACATTTCAGAAGTTGTATACTCTTCTAATATTCACAATTTATAAAAGCACATAGAGAAAACTGTTCTTTGCCTAGTACTTTATATTTTACAATCAGCATTTGTATTTTCTTAGGACAAACACTGTCAAGAGCATTGTTAGTAGGTGGTTCCTCTGCTCTCCACTACAGTAATGCATCAGTAGCTTTCCTCACCTACCCGTGTTTCCCCGAAAATAAGACACTGTCTTATTTATTTATTTTTTCACGAAAAAAGACACTAGGTCTTATTTTCGGGGGATGTCTTACCTGGCTGCTGCTGTCCGCTCTGCCGTCCAGGGAGCCACAAACAGAAACACAGGTGGGCGGGCATGCGTGCGGGCGGGGGGCGTGTCTGGCAGTCCTTTTTTTAATTTTTTTGTATACTGTATTTTTTTTTAATGATTCTTTAATTTTTGTATTTTTTTATTTACACAACTTTATTACTATTACATGGGGGGCTAAGAATCCCCCTATGTGATAGCCAATTTACATGACGGGTCCTCTTTATGGAGACATCAGTGGTCTCCAAGATCCCTAATGTCACCTAGGGACCCCCAGAGAGGCTGATGAAGCACAGATCTGCTTCATCAGCTTCTGTAACTGGAGAGGGACACTAAATGCAGGAAGTGATGTAGTATACATCACTTCCTGCATTCGGGGACTGAGAGGAGATCAAAGGGAGTTTGTATACTGAACTCCCTTTGATCTCCTGTCACAGAGCCATCCCGGCCGCATCGGGCACAGTGGATCTCGGGAGCGGCAACGGCAGTGACAGCTGCTGCTAATGCTCGTGTCTCTAGAGACGCCCGATCGCTTGAATGTAAAGCTGCTCGTCGGGCTCCACCGTCCTCTCGTCGCTGACGAGTGGATTTTTCAAGCCCTGTTTATATATATATAT